GGGCGTATGGTATTTAGGCCGTGACCGGTCATTATTTGTCGCCTGGGGGGTGGAGGGGGGCGGAGGAATTTAGGGGGGATCTCCCAAGAGATTTCAAGAGAGCAGAGGGGGAATCAGCCCTAATTGACAGGCACTAAGGGGGAACCAGGAAAAAAAAAAGGAGAAACTTAGTTGAAGAGGTGGGATCAGTTACCTTTTTGATGATCTTGTTCAGACACGAACTAATATAATGAACTAGTTAGTGGTTGTGCTTATGTATTAAACGTGATGCTAAAACATGTTAACGTTAAGAACGTTCGATAAACGTGGCGGTACACTGTCATTAAAAACAACAACAACAGAGGTAAAAAATATATACATGGTATATCAACAAGTGATTAGTTTGGTGACTTGTTTTAATTGGAAGCTGACTGGTAAACTAAGGTGTCTCGTGACATGCCAAAACGGTCTGATATGCCTGAGTGGAAAATATGTGTGTTTTCTGGCAGTCTAAGCACCAACGGGGGAGGGGTATTTGCATATTGGGCTGCATAGGCATTTGCCGACCAATAGGGTATGGTTTTTGAGGGCTCCTGATCCTTCCTGGTGTGATCCTCAAATAGGGCACATAAATTGTATGCATTACGATAAAAGTGTCTGAGTAAATGCCAAACTAAATTCGAAACAAATCATCTCTTAAAAATGAACTATTTCTTAGAGGATCAGGAAAGAGATTTAATAAAGCTTTGTGTGTTACTATTAAAGGGTAAGTTTCACGGTTCAGCGCACGCTCATTTATCAACATGCTGTTTTTTTCTGCCGGGACATGCTGTATCGTCCATGCAAGCGAAGCTAAGCGATATACATATGATTATGTCAGTGTTATCAAAGAACCAATCGACACACTCCCCTGGCAGTCACATGATCAACTTATGTGCAAATAGCTGTAAGTTCATCAACAAAAAATAAAACCTTTGGGTCGACAATAAATTCAGCGTTGGTAGTGTTGGCAAATCCACTTCAGGTTACTTTGAAATACACTCTGAGAGGGATTATTAACCAATAGAACTTACCTAATAATAAATTGGAAAAAGTCATTTAATTAATGAGCATGCACTGAACCGTGAACCTGCCCCTTTAAGTTTTCCTTTGGCTTTTTCCTTGAATAGGGTGTCAATTTTCGTTTGCCTCATGGCTCTTGGGAAAACGAAATTATTTGTTAGAAAGAAACTCGGATGGCAAGTTGATCATATTCAGGTTCTGATTGGCCACTAAGATTTTTTAGTGTCCTTGGAGAGTGGCAAATGGCATAGGAACAACCTAAATTTGCATAAATATGCAAAACCTCTGCTTTAGAATTAATATTTATCGCGTGACCAGTGGAGTGCTAGTGAAAAGAGACATCGCTGATATCGCTTTCCTTTATCTTGCATCAACTAAAGGGTATGTAGGACAAACGATTTCTTCTCATAATGTCTGCTGTCGAATACAACAGTTTACTCTTCGAAATAAGCCAGAGGCTAGACGACCTAGATGTAGGCAGGAAGTTATTAGTTATGTGCAGAGGAAAGGTGGCGCACCGCAACGAAGAAAATATGCAGGATGTCCATGTCTTCTCGTTGTTTGAAGAATTAGAGCAGAATGGCTTTCTTGGGCCTGACAAGTTAACAACTTTGAAAGATCTGTTGAAGGGCTTGAAAGAATGGTCTCTTTTCGGACATGTCAAAACATTTGAAATTAAACGAAAAGAATATAACTGCCTGCTGGAGAGAATCATTCTTGATCTCGACCAACTCGATTGTCTCGAACAACTTGTCGCCATTTGCGGTGATAGGATACCGGAAGAGAGACATGGCAGCATACAAGATGTTAGATCACTTTTCAAGGAACTAGAAATCAATGACTCTTTGGGGATTGACCAGCTGGAGGTCCTGAAGGAGATTTTGACGCAAAAGGTAAAAACCGATCTACTTCAGAAAGTGGTGGAGCTTGAAGAAAGAAGAAATCAAGAGGATGAATTTGAATGGCGAAAAGGTACCATACAGATTTCCTTTCTAAAACCCTTTAGCTAGTGGGTCTTTCCCTATGGCCCTTTATAATGGTTTTTGTCGATTGTGATATATATATATATATATTTTTTGCTTTTCCTTTTTAGACCTGTTCTAGGGCCATTCTCGTTCTCAAATGAATGTAAACTGACTAAGTAATCACGATTATTTCATTTCAGCACAAGCAGCTGCGATTGCGTCGTCGGCTAGCAGCAATTTAGCGGGAGGTAAGTTTTGACACCTAAAGGGGCTAAACTACTTCCCATTAGAAACATCGTGGATCTGTTAACTCTAAATTTGTGAAGTAATGATAAACATAACTCTAAAAATATAAAGGAAACATTAACCCACGGACGTATGACGAGCCAATCGAGTCACGCAGCATTGACTAAGTATTATGGGTTTTGTTTTACAAAGGAGACGCCGCGCACAGAAAATCCTGATATAAAATGTTAATTCACGATGTCTTTTCACATGTTATTATACTCTCTGGACGGCCCTGTTTCCTTAAATGAAAGAGGGATGGACTCATTCACACCTAGTCCCTTAGATCGCAGACAATTGCGAAGTGTAATGCAAGAGTTCTTGTCTTTTCATTTAATAATGAGACATGATGAGAAGTACGTATATATTTATGTGTCAGTGATCATTATTATTATCATTAGCAATTGCGGTATGAGCTTTAGCATGATCTGAAATGCACAGTCTTCAGCGCTGTGTTATTCATCAGATCATGCGGAAGCCGAATCCAAGAATTGTTTTATTATTCTATCAAAATAGTATCATCTTACAATTGAAGCCCGTCTTAGTTCATACTGTTCCTCAGCAAATTCAGCACACTAAAGGATGATATTTAGTCTAGCAGCTAATCGTCATATAGTAGTTGCCATCCGTCGCGTTATATTTTGCCCTTTTCGTTATCTTTTAAGCAGAAGCTCGGTTATTTTAAAAGGTTAAAAAATGGTTTAAAGGTTTGGCTATAGTGGCAAGTGCACTTAGCTTATAACAGGGGCACCCAACGACAATTTTCAGAAAATATCTGTTCGGAAGACGATTTGAGATCTAGAATTTTCGGAACATTTGTTGTCACCTAGAATTTTCGGGAGCCTTTTTTCTGGCTGAAAGTTTCGAAAAGGTAAGTTTTGATCCCTATAATTTTCGGAGCACTAGACTTTCAGCTAGGAAATCCGAACAGATGAAAAATTTTTAGGAGATGAAAATATGCCTATATCTACCGTTTAAATACTAAAATACATTTAACAATGCTATGTTTAAGTGGTTTTGAACTAAATTCTCGTTGGGTGCCCCTCTTATAATGCAACTAGTTTACCGTAGGCACTCCACTCAAATACTTACACACAAATAATTCAAATTGCTGGTTTTCAGTGTCACGCCATTCAAAATAGATCAAAATAACAATCAAACCGTTGAATAGATAAAGTCCAGAATCTGGGAAATGAAAGGAGGCACATATACTAAGACCCTCGCCAAAATTCAGGTCAGAGGAATATTTCGTATACGAGATATCCGAAGAAATGTTTTATCCAAACTTATAGAGATTTGTATGGAGACGCCATGCTGGTGCTCACCTGTATGAGCTCCAACATGGCGGACGGAAACCAACAGAAACATCTGTTACCGAGTTTTGCTACAAAAGCGTGAATTTAATTAATACTTTAAATTAATACTTCCTCTAATACATGAACTGTTTAAATAGCAAAATATCCTGAAATATGTCATTTTTTTAACCTACATAACAGCTCTCTTGGCCGTCATGTAACTGCCGCGTCACACAAAAGCTTAGAAATTCAAGCGTACTCATCTATCACAAAACCAAGAACCCTTTTGAAGCGAAAATTTGTATGAAATATAGTTTTCAGCTGCTCTAATGCATCGTGAAAGTAAAATCCCGGTAGGATCGATATCTTTTCTACCGCTGGATTGCGAGTCCGACGCGAGTCCGACGCGCTGACCACCCGGCCACGCTGCCTCCTCTACTTTAAAAACGTAACGCAACCTCGTCCAGATGGTTTCCTCGGTTATCGTCCATTTTTTTTGTCGTTATCCTGTCCTTTTCACGTCATTGGCACTGAATTTTTCCAACGTGTCCCAAATTTGGTCAACCCTCGCCTATTATGAAAAATTATAAAATATTTCTACGTTTCTGATTGGCTCAAATCCTACGGGCCTCATAATCTACAAGCCTTGACCAAATTTGGAAGAAGTGTGCGTATAATTTGAAACTGAGAGTGTAAAATAATCCGCAGGGGCCTAGCACCCTCAACGACTAGGGTCTGCATACCGTAATTCTTTAGATCATACCCGGCCTCATCCATTAACTGGTAATCATCATTATTATCATGCCATTAAAGGGACATTACCCCGTTACAGAGCATGCACCAAACTTTGATCTTTGGACAGGATGTCGCGAAATCAAGAGATGCGAGGAGAGTAAGAGAACCTTGAAAAATCCCTTTGCATCGCGCTTGGCCGAGTTCGATACTACACTAAAACTTCTCAGGATTACAGATCAATGATATATTGTTCCCGTTGAGTTTCGATTTGGGCGAAATAGGGATTTTTTTGCCTGCGTCGTAGACGCTCCAAACTTTCTGTATAGAGCGTCTGCGAATTAGTGCACAACATCGTTTTCCAATCCCGCAGAGTCGCAAGGACATATGTCGGCGGTTTTGATTGGCTAGTTTCTTACGCAGTTGTGATTAGTCCCATTTGAATTAAGTGTTGACAGGCCAAACATGACTCAGCTCGTGACAAGACAGACTGAGCTCGTGATAGTGTGTAACGTGTCCCTAGCAGGGTTGGATCCAGGATTTTACATGAGTGATTTGCACCAACTTAACTAGGGGGATTTGGGGGTGTGGATTATCGTGCCCCGGGCGCGATAAGAAATCGCGACCCTCCAAATACTAGATCGGACGTTCCAACCACTGAACCACCAGTGGGAATTTTTCGTACAGAAGGAGGTGCTGTTTATGTGTCTGAATGGCTTGGGGTGCTCTCAGAATGCAGGAAAATTGCATTCTGAGAGCACTAAATTTCAAATGACTCAACATACCGTAAAATAAAAGTTGAAAATACCATATTAAGGTTTCTTCCACTTAAATATTCTGCTACTTGAACAGAGAATCGCAAAAATTAGTTCCCACCAGAAATTTCAGTCATCTCGAACCGCAAAAATTTGTTCCCCCAAACCACAAAAAATCGCCAATCCGCAAAATAAAACTCCCGCAAAATTTTCATGCTACACGGTTTGTCCTTGCGACTCCGCAGCATATTAGAACGAGCTTTTGTGCACTAATCCCCAGACGGACTATACAAATGGTTTAGACGGGTGCGTGGGCCGGCTGCAACGCAGGCTAGGATTTTTTGGAGTTACTTTTATTGACGTTGGCCAGAGGACCAAACGATGTGAAGCGCCTTGATGCCGATTGAAGGCTTATTTCTTCTTCCAGCTTCCATACAAGCTCAGATAGTTGTGAACGGAATACGCAGAAAAGAAACAGCAACAATAGAGACTGTAAGAAAGAAACCATTGACACGTGGAAGTGACTGAGGGGATCTTGGGGAATTAAGCTTCGCGAAACAGAATGTTTTGCAACGACGCGTTAGTAAACTTTTAAATGAACCGCTCTACAGCCGACAAAATCAAACAAACAGGCGCTACATGTTTAGAAAAACTAGTGCAATGAAATCATAATATAGTTTTTGACTAACCTTTGCGATAATTCATTGCGCTGAGATTGCATTTTTATTTATATCTTTCAGACGCTTGAGGCTAGAACGCGAGAAATCAGGCAAATATTACTGGACTTCGAACAATTGACCTCTGACACGAGTTTCACATTAGAAAAGCTGTTTTTAAAGGAAGCGGAACGACATTTTTGGGTCGCGAGGCGGCCCTGCTAGCGACAAAATCGCGATAAATAAGACGAAAAACTTCTTCGAAGTCTAAAATATTACTTGAGAATTTAAACCACAAATCTCCGTCGACGGTGCGGTCCGGAAGGAAATCTTGTCGAGTCAATATAACGGTTCTATTGTCTTTTAAAGAAACAACAGATGAGGCTCGCGCGTGCGCACAATCGGGACACTGTCCCTTTAATGTTAACCGCCGTTAAGAACCAGCAACTTGTCTTTTTATTATTCCTTGTTCCAGCACAATCTTTCGTGACTATCTGACTCCAGTCTCTTTTTCAAGCCTGTTATTGCCATAAACCAAGTCCTTATTCTGATTCTCATAGCGGTTATCATTGCTGATGCTTCATCGGCTTGAATTTGATTTTAATTGTATATTCTTTGATTTTCAGTCCTGAACATAAAAACAGTGTTCAAAGTGGCTGCAGGGGGTGCATTTATAGCTTCTGCCTATCAGCTGTTGAGGCGTGGCTGTACATATGATCAGTTGGTAACTGCTGTTAGTACCTGCGTTCTTCCAGCTGGCGTTCAACTGATACACATAGCTGAGGGGAGCGTTATTCTAAAAGTTCAAGCTGAAGACATTTTAGCTCTTGACACCTTGTGGAGTTCATACACTGACGGAACGCTTAGAAAATCCCTGCAAGCCTTATTTATCACAGACGAAATGAGAGAACTTGCTGATGGAGAGCAGTTGGAAGTTTCTGTCACCATTGAGCAAGAAGAATATGAGAAAGCACGTAAAGAGTTAATTAATGAAGCAGAAGGTGAATTGATCTCATAAATGTTTTTTCTCTGCAGTTTCAATATGCGCGTTGATGCCAATCCACCTATTACTTTTCTTAAGTACAAAGTCGTATTGATAATATAATCTTTTTTCTATCTTAATATTTATTGCCGAGGGAAATGCAAACGTGTTGGGAATTTTTATTACAAATTTCATAGAATCGGCGGATGGCTAGTCGCTAGGGAATGGTGACTTATTGCTAAACTGCTTCAAGGTAGCAGTTAGGCTGAACAATATTATTCGTTGTTTTTCTTTCACAAAACATTTTGGCCTTTTTCGTGGATTATCTTAACCTTAAAAGCCCCCCACCCCCTCCAGGTGCGGATCTAAGATAAATACTGACCGTTTTCCTAATCGAGCGTCGAAGGCGTAAGCTTCTAGTGGGGTCCGAGGGCACGAACCCCCGCGAAATGTTTCTGAAATTTTACTCCTTAAATTAACCTTTCCTGGGTTTCTGAGTCATTCAGTCAGGATGTTGGTCAGATTTTAACTTGGAAGTTTTTTTCGTGAAAAATTTTTCTATGAAAACTCTGACCGATTTTCGTAAAACGTAGGAAACCGGTGTGGATCCGCGCCTGCTCTCCCCCACCCTCAAAGCCCTAACATGTTTCAGCATTCTTACTTTCACGTTAATTAAAAGATACAGATTTAATTTTTATATCTGTATTTTTGATACCATATTTATTTCAGATGAACCTGAGGGTCAGGAAGAGAGGCAACGTTATTACCTTGCTCAGGAAAAACTGTCCTACATTACGAATTACTTAGAGCAAACCAAGGATACAGATGTATACAGTGAATCTACAGACGACGACAGTGGAAAGCCAGGATCGAGTAGCGCACCATCTGAATTTGGATTTGAAGAAACCAGCGGTATGACTGTGAATTAGTCAATAAGAATTCCAAGCATACCCAAGCCCCCCACACCTCCCCTCTGGTCATTTGTCACGTTGAGCGTTTCCACGGCAGGCTTTTGTCTTGAAGGATCTGATAAGGGAAATTCCATCGGGATCAATAGATCGTTTTCACTTGACGTCAACACAATGGAACAGCGACCATGTTGGTGTACTGAGAAAATCCCGTGGAGGTTGAACTCTTTTCTAATGAAAAACTTTATTTCTTTTGTTCCAACAAATTTGCACAGCTGCTGACCACGTAAGAGAAAACGATTTATAAGCCAGTTTCGATTTTTTAAAATTTCTACTTGGCTGCGAGGCTGAGGGATGAAAGAAAAGAAAGCGTACTGAAATTCAGTGATAAATAAAACATTCTTTTGTTGAATTCTATTTAGCCTCGTAGCCATGTGGGAATTTTGATAACATTTATGGTCTAGCTTAGCAAGCGCCTTAACAGAAATACGCAATGTAGCAGAGCTCAAGCAAAGAGCGTCCCTTAAAAGTTAGTGAAATATCATCACTCTATCCGTCCCTCCATTATTTTCTCATAGTCTCCTGAATGCATACTCCTGAAATCAATTCACACTGTTAGTGACCGTTCCGTTCAAATCGATATCTATATTTTTAGGACACTGAAGTCAACAGTTCTTAATCTGATTCAGATTTCTTAATTTGTTTTTGTCATGTATTTGTAGATTATTCTACCACCAAACTGTGCTTGAAAGATCTCAGTAAAGAAGTGACTGAGGAACTAACTTTCAGGCTTAAAAGGAACAAAGATATTCAAAACCAATTTTACCGGTCTTTTGGGCTTCATCTGGATTTACCTTACGACGAGCTGACGAACATCAGAAATATTTTCCCTGATACCCCGGTCAAAATGCTAAAGGAAGTTTTTGAGGCGCTACAGCTGTTTGACTTTGCAGAACTCTTAGAGAAAGCAACCAAACCACGGACACTTCGTCCTGCTCTTCCGCTAAAAGAAATTGAAAAGTTATCGAATGTCAGTAACCGTCCAACAAAGGTTTACAGTAAAGCAGAGGTTTTAATAATTGAGTTATGTGAAGGTCCTCAAACTGCCGCAGATAATGATCGAAATGATGCAGAAAGAGTTGGATCATTTTTTAAAGCCCTGAATTCACAGAACGAAATAACTACGTTGACCTCAAATCACTTGAAGAAATCTCTTGTAGAACTGGATTACTTAGTGAAAGTCAAGAAAGAAGAAGAAACAATTGACAGACGAGAAGGAGAAAGGGAAAAGTACCTAAAAACACTTCTCGAGAACAAAATCCCAGAAAGTCGTAAGAAAGAACAGACTAGGAAAGAAAGAAGATTGAGAACGAGACCTATCGGTCCAGGTTTTCGGCCCCTTGGGCGTAAACCTGTGCTGGAGAAAGAAGAAGCAGGAATAGGGCGGCTAGAGGGAAGATTGGTCCCAAACACGGATGAGAGATTGTTGAGTTCGTTCTACGAAGAGGAGCCTGCACTGAAGAAAAAACTGAACGAGCTGACAGAAAGCAGAAAAAAATGGAACAACGAAAGAAAGCCATCGATCGAGAAGCAGATACAGGAGAAGGAGGAAGAACTACAAAATGAGACTGAGAAACTGGAAATAGGTGTTTCAGCTGTCATCGACAAATGGGCCGCAAAACTACACGCAAATCATCAAGGTTCGATATCATACACCTTGTATCATAACAATATATTAAACCATTTGGGCGTTGCAACAACAACATCTTACCGTTTATTGCGATTTTCATTAATATGCAAACTCTTAAGTGCAAATTGCAACTAACGTTTACGTTTTTCGCTTCCTTCACCAACCTAGCAGCCCTCTCAGGAGACAAGTTTTCTTCAGTGCCGGTTAAAAAAGCCATTTCTGTGGGTTGTGGTTGGTAGATTTCAATAAGTTTTTTTTTTTTCGTTTCGTCGCAATTGTGATTGGGGACAGCGAAAAACGTCCATGAACCGTTGAAAAGCGCAGTAAGGATTCATCCACACACTGTTCCACACTTGTTAAGAAGAAGTTGTAACACTTGTTTTAAGCCAACTATGAACCCTTGGAATCTCACTTCTACTTCCTGGTACAATCTTATAACCCTGTGTCACTCTGATCCTTATAATTAATTCAAGTAAGCCTACGCCACAGATGGAAATTAACTTCCGGGTTAACTCAGTCTGCGAAAAAGCGCTGAAATCCTTGTTCTGGGCCCCCATGCGGGTACTAGGATTTGAGTACGCACCATGATCGGCCTGTTAAAAATGCCATCGTCGAATTGCCAATCAGATTGAGGGGAAATTAGAAACGCATTTCCGGAAATTCATTGAGTTAGTTGGGGCCTAGAACAAGGACGCTGCTTCCCAGACGTCACTAACCAGAGTTGAATTACGTCTGCGACGCAGGCTATAGCTCCCCCTCTTCTTTCTCTTGCCAATTTTACAAAATTGGTAACATTAAAATAATGTCCAAAACTCATTAAAATTCTCAGTACGGTTTACTTTATTCGTTACGGTTCTTATATGTGAATGATAATAGACGTTCTAAGAATTTTTTTTTTCTTTTGTAGGAAAGGAATCGACCCTCTTTGTCGTCATTATTCACAACAGCCTGAGTTTGGACTGGCGAGTGATCGATGCACTACACCAGACAACTATCAGCATAAGCAGATGTTTGAGTAAAAAGCTGGCACTTATTCCAGAGACGAAGCTAGTGATAACAAATAATGTGTCACCCATGAGGGGAAAAGAAAACATTTCAAACGAAACTCTTGAAGTGAATTTGTCTGGAAAAGATGTGTTCTCCGCATTGCTGCAGCTTCTGAGTAAGCGTTTCGATGCACTAAACCTCATTTCAGTGATGCACGAATTACAAAGGGGGGAGACCTCTCGAGGAGCCCCTCATTACCACAGATATAACGGAGTTCAAGTACGTGAAAACTTGTCGTGCCTTCCAAGACTCCAAAAGACGCAACAAGTCTTGTAGATAAGTCGTAGTCTACCTGAATGAAGTACTCCCCTAGTTATATACCCCTTTGGCCTCACTTCGAGGCATAGCGTTCCCCGCCTTCTGCTCTCACGCATTCAATCCTCTTCAGGTCCACTGTGAATTTTACGAGTAGGTATTTAGAAAGGCAAACATGCAGAAACTACAACTGGGAACAGTACCATCCTTAGCATAACTCTTTTCAATTTCGTTGTTACACATACTGACATTAGAAAGAGACATTTGGTATAAAGAATAGTGACAAGGACACTTGAAGGACCATAATCTCAACGAGCTAATATGCCCAATGCAACTTTAAGTAAGTGTTAGTCAAGGGATCAGGGACTTCTGTGTCCCAGGTAACAACTTGTTTTTGAAAGCATTGGCCTGGTATTTGTATGGTATTGTGACTAGGATAAAAAACTGTCACAAGCGATGAAAGTAAACCAAACTGGATAAAGTAATTATGCCCAAAGCTTTGACACTTTTATTATTATGCTCATTTTATCCGCGGGAAAACGGACGTTTTATCTCCTAGAGACAAAATCAGCACAAGTCAGTCTGAAATTAACCTTGGCCCCTTAGTATTTGCTTCCGGCAGATTTACAATTATTCGAAACCGAAATTAAAAATACACAAGTCAATCTTTTGATCATCTGTTTACACCTTTGATGCTGCGGACGATTTTCATTTTGTTAAGCAACAGCAACGTCAAACTCTTTCTCGACTCTTAGGCCCGGCTGTTCACACTTGGTACACAAGCACTATTGCCTGGGTACTGGCAAAAAATGGTGTTGTGTTCACACTTTGGGTACCCGATGTGTAACTGTGTACACACTTAATCAATTTTGCGCTGTCGGAGGCTATTTTGAAATGTAAGTGTAGCAGTGTAGCAGGGAGTACACCTGACACAAACAGAAAACGTGTGCACACACCAGTATCGTCCCCTAATTCTGGCTTGAATTATGTGCACATGAAAACTTAGGCACCGTGCATGGACATTAAATGTGAACGATGGTATAATTGACAACTAATTTGTGTAGGAACCAAGCTGAGAAATGGTTGAGGATTACTAAAACATAAATGTAAAATAAGTGTTGCGTCAAAATTGTTTGAGCTTTTTTGCGAATTGTGGTAAACCAGCTAAATAGCAGCACGATAAAGGTAATTATTGCTTACCTCATTATGGATCACTAATGATTTGCATGATGTCTCTACTGACTACTGCCTGTGGTCATTGGTGACTATGATGATGACGAGGATGATGATAATGATACACACAAAAGCGTTAGAAACATGGTGGTTGCATCTAGGCAAAATACTCAGACAACTTTCTTAAAAAAACCATTGGTGCAAACAAAAAAATCTTGACTGGAAAATGCTTACCTTTTTGCTGCTGTTTCAAACGAGTTATGGCTACATTTTCTTCAATAATAAAGTTTAAAAATGTGGCGCACTCTGATTGGTTAAAAAAGCTTGCTTTACGAGAGTATAAGACACGGAGCTAAAGCTGTCACGTCACCCAGCAATAAATTGTTTTGAAAATTAGAAAGTCATGCATTGAAAATTTATCCTAAAACAAATAAAGAAGCCTTGACTGTACTCTGTTCTGTTGTAAAGCATTGAGAGAACTAAAGAAGTAGGGAGAAACAATCGAATACGTCTTTTGTCCCCCCATACACTTCTGTCGTGTTTGTGTTCTTCTTTTCATGATCAGAACACGGTCAAGGCTTCTTTATATGTTACTTAAGCAACGTACTTGCCACTAACAATACACAGTCTGTATAATGGTATAATTCATGTAACCTTCATTCGCAGAGGAAAGTTGTAACTAACAGAGCCGTAGCTAGCGGAGGGGGGGGGGGGGGG